ATTATTTTTTACGGTTTTGTACTTTTTCTTTTGTACTCTCTTACTCATAGTAATATTATATTACTCCTTCGCTCATGGATGTAAGTCAATTTGACTGAGCCACATAAATTTTGATATCTCTCTATTTGATTTATTTGCTATGTTATTCTCTTTGTTAGATTGCCAAGAGTACTATTATTTTTGTTGGTCAATTTCATGGGATTAGACCTGAGGAACTAGTATCAAAATTTCTCTCTAGATTATGTGGCGACAATGACAATAATAAAGACGGTAGTCGAAAAATTATACAGGAGTGTCAACTTCGGATTGTGGCAGCTTAAGATGGAGGCGACCTTGGTTCGACACGGAGTTGATCTAGTGATACAGGAAGTTGAAAAAAATTAAAGAATATGACATATGCGAATTTTGCTAAAATGGATAAGAAGACAAGATCAAGTATTATTTTAAATCTCTATGACGAGATTTTATGGGAGATAGCCGCTAAGACTTCAACTAAGGCCATTTGGGACAAGATTAAAGTTTTGTATACGAAGAAGATAGTTGAGAATCAAGTTTATCTAAGGCAAAGTCTATATATATTTTAGATGACTGAAGGTACATCATTATTATGGATTTGGAGAATATTTATTCGAAAATTGATAATGAAGATTAGATCCTATTATTGTTGTGTTCCCTTCCCCAATCGTTTAAGTATTTCACAATAATATGGTTTATGGAAAAGAAACAGTTTCATATTGAAAACTTAAATCTGCATTAAAAACTAAGGAGTAGATAGACAGAGATATCATTAGAAAAATTAATGGGGGGTCAGGCAAAAGGCCTTAGTGGCAGAATTGATAAAAAAGAATCTGCTAGTAGTAGGTCTAAATTTAGATCTAAATCCAGACATAGAAATTTGGAGTGTAATTATTGTCACAAAATGTGGCATATTATGGCTAATTGCTTTATATTGAAAAATAAACTAAAGAAAAAGGGAAAACATTGTAAGGAATATATTGACATTGTTGAAACTTGTGTTGCAGCTAATGAGAGTGATAGAAATATTTTCTTTGTGACTAATGATAGAACAAGGTCTAAAAAAGAAAGAATTTTAGATTCAAGGTGTTCTTATCACATGTGTCTCAATAGGGATTTGCTTTCTACTTATGAGCCTGGTAATGGTGGATTTGTTTTAATGGGCAATAATGCCATTTATGATATTATTCGTAAGAGTACAGTCTGAATTAAAATGCATGATGTATTGTGAGAACACTCACTAATGTTAGACATGTTCTTGATTTAGAAAAGAATTTCATCTCTTGACGAATCTAGGAGGCCCTTGGATTCAAATACACAGCTGAAAATGGCATTTTGAAGGTTTCTAGAGATGTTTTTGTTGTTATAAAAACTTGCAAGTCTAGTCATTTGTATATTTTGCAAGGATCTATTAGCACAGGATCTACTATCATCTTTATTTGATTTTGACATCATCAAATTGTAGCATATGCATTTAAAATGCAAGTGAGAAAGACTTGGACATACTAAACAAAAGGGGACTTCTTTGTGGACAAAGTATTGAGTCATTGGAATTCTATGAACACTGTGTCTTCGAAAAACGAAAAAAGGTCAGTTTCAATTCATCAACAATTCACAAGACTAAAGGTCTTGATTATATTTATTTAGATCTATAGGGTTCAATTCGTGTTTCATCTAAGGGTGGTGCAAGCTATATATTGACTTTCATTGATGATTATTTAAGGAAAATTTGAGTTTATTTTCTTAAACATAAGAATCATGTTTGCCTAACTTTCAAACAATAGAAGTTTTGATTGAGAAACAGATAGATAAACACATTAAGGGCTTAAAATAGATAATGACATGAAATTCTGTGAAGGTGAATTTGATGAATTATACAAGAATGAAGGAATTATTCAAGACCGCATTGTTAGAATGACATCTCAATAAAATGGTATGGTAGAACACATAAATAGAACGCTTTTGAAAAGAGATAGATGTATGATCTTTAATGCACAGTTGATAAAGGATTTTTGGGCAGAGGCTATCTATATGGCTTGTTATATTGTCAATCGCGTTCCTTCTACATCTCTTGATTTTCAAACTCTTGAGGAAGTTTGGTTGTGCACTACTGCTAACTACTCTAATTTAATAGCTTTTGGGTGTACAACACACATGCATGTGAATAATGAAAAATTGAAGTTTTGGGCAAAAAAAAGTACTTTTCTTGGGTATGCTTTTGGGGTAAAAGTGCATATATTGTGTTTTCTTCATCTGAAATTCCCAAAATTTATGATCAGTAGAGATGTTATTTCCGATATATTCTCTATACTGTCTTCCAAGGAGTCTTCCAGTTCTTGTGGTACAGATGATAGTATGTAGAAATAGGTGAAAATTGAAATTGGCAGTTTTGTTCTTTCTTAGTCTAGTTCTTCTATTCAGCAAATGCTAGTAGATGCACTTGAATCTACTAATGAAAATAATCCAGAAGAGAAGCAATATTCAATAGCCAAAAATAGTTCAAGGAGGGATCTTCGACTACCTCAAGGATATGTAAATTTGATTGCATATGCTTTGTCTATTACAAAACAGAATGATGGAGTTTACAAGTCTTTTACCTATTTAGATGTTAGTTTATTGTGATGATTCTACTTAGTGATATATTGCAATAAATGAAGAAATTGAGTCTCTACCAAAATGGAACTTGGGTTCTTGTAAAATTATCTTTAGATAAGAAGTTGAATGCAAATGAGTATTCAAGAAGAATGAAGGTGTTTCAGTAGTTGAAAATGCAATGTACAAAGTACAATTGATTGCAAAGGATTACAGTTGGGTACAAATTGTTGATTTCAATTATGTATTTTCGTTTGTTGTTAAGCATAGCTATATTCGTATTTTACTTACTTTAGTTGTCATATATGATTTGGAGTTGGAACAGCTTGATGTTAAGACAACTTTCCTACATAGTGAACTTTTTTTTTTTTTAAATAGAGATCCATCCCTTAATTTATTTATATCCGAAAAGAGTACAACGAATTAGAGGGGGGCCAAACCTGACCTCTGTTAAAGTAAAAGGGACAGCTAAGGATCAACAATAATACGCACATATGAAAAAATCTGCGAATCTAAATACATAACAGATGAATCGAACGAATCATCCACATGATGGTGCCCCACATTTGTGGGATTGTGAGTGAGCATGGGAATTTGATTTAACATCTTGACGTGTTTGCATTGTTTTACCTTTTTTTGAAAGCTGCTTCCTCGCTTTCTTTGAAATCACTTGGGTAAATTGCTCGTGAACTAGTTTCTGGTCTTGGTCTTTGTCTTTATCGCGTTGTGAATCATCTTCTTCTTCTTCAATTTTGTCACCATTGCATGTTGTATTTGAATGAAGAAAAGGCTTTTGATATACGAGTGCCAGGTTGTCAGCCTGTGCAATAACAAAAACCTGCTCAACTAAAGTTAATTTCTATAGATAGTGGTAAGTAGGGTCGAATCCACAGGGACTGGGTGTAACTGTTTCTTCTCAAATTCACAGTAACAAAGGGGGTGTTTTTGTGCAGAAGGTGACAATCAAAGAAATTCAAATAAAATCTAAAAAACTACTAAAAATTAAATAACAAATTACTAAAGTCAAATGGGTGATAATTAAGGATCTAACCAAGAAATAACTTCGGCAATGATTCACCTAATTGATCATCGATGCACAAGCGATTTCAATTATTTATTAATAAATAGGTTATAACTGCCAAACAAGCGATGACAGTCAACCCCTCCTTACTGTGTCGGTGATTAAGGTACGCCCATTAATCACTGCTCTAATTGAGAAATAATCCTAGGTACGCCCGTAAGATTTAATTCCCCAATTGCCTTACGTATTAGAGGAGCCCTATTCTAACCAAATAACGCACTACCAGGGTTATTTTAGATTAGCCCGCGTATCCCCCTGACACGAATCCAATCGTGCCAATTGTCACTAATTCAAGGCAATTAAACAATTACGGATTTAAATGCCCTAATTGACAATAGATTACCAAATTAACTAATTATCCGGATCCAAGACAATCAATTAATTAAATAAGCATAAGCTTAGCAATCAAGAAATATGCGAATACCAATAAATAAAAGGAAAAGATTAAATTAAATCGATCTCACAATTCTTAGGCGAACCAAGGCCTCCGTTGCTCCTTGGCTAGAGTAAGGAAATTAGTTCATATTCGTTGCAAAAAACCCATGTAAAGCTGAAGCAATAGTCGCGGCCATCATGCGGCAGGAGGAATCCACCACAGACCACAAGGAAAAGTCAAAAGAAAAAAAACTACAAGGAATCATTCAATTGCTCTTATTTGCCTCTGACATACGAGAGCTAAGCTACTAAGAACCAAAAGAAAAGTCAAAGCTATAAACTAAAGGTAAAGGAGAGAAAACCCTCTGCTCCCATTTTCTATTTATTCCTATCTAATTGCAATCCTATCTAATGCCTAACTATTGTGCGGCGGCTCCCCATCAGCAAAAAGGAAGCCCTGCCTTCATCCTTGCCTTTGCAGTAATTACCAAAATGGGGATAAGTTTTTCTTTTCCAAAAATGCCCCTGGGATAAGTTCTATTATTTGGATTCCTCTTCTGTCAAATCGGCACTTGTTATCATATTTTTGTTCTACTCCCTGAAATAAATGCAAAATATTAAAAGTGAGTAGAATCCAACAATTAATCCACATCGAGTCAGGTAATAGGGAAAATTAATAATAAAATTGCAACCTATCAACGAGGGGGATCCTACCATGTAATTTCTTCCATTTAAGCTCTTCGAACACATCTTTAAATTGTGGCACATTTTTAAACCATGGATTTTGAGGCATAGAGGATTTCGTGTCTGTTCTTGTACTTGTACTTGTACCCACAAGGGGTGTGTCTCCAACTGACACCATATCACGTGGGTCATGAAGTTGGTCTACCTTCACGAGCGCATCGTTAGCCACATCAGGCGTAATTCCATTACCTTGCTATGAGGAGTCGCCAACCTCCATCGCCTTCTCTTCCGAAGCAGCCTCTGTGAATGCGCCATTAGCTGGTTGAATGGAATGGTCATTCTCAGACTCCGGATCAGTGAATTCCCCATCCTCAAGTGGATTCGAAGTCGAAGTCTGCAGCCCAACATCTGTTCCATGCTCCGGCACCACAACCCGATCTGTGACAATAACAGACTTTGCAGCTTTTCCTATCCGAGATACAACCCCACTCAAATTTCAATCCACACCAGACTCTTGAGGCTCCCGTATAACCAACGGCTTATTCATTTGCAGGTTTGGTAAAACCAAAGATTGAACATCAGACATCTTTTCCTTACCCTTATGATTTTGCCCAATATTCAATTGAAAATCATCAGGATTAATACTATCCAAAACAAACTGCGAATTATTCCCTAAAGTGGCAGCCTCCGGAATTGTCTGAGCATGAGCAGCAGACATTCCTTGTTCCTTGTTGACATCTGCGGCCGGTTTGCTCTGGACTGTCGTCACCTCCAACTCCTTCTCCTTCTCATTCACTACTTTTGGAACATAGATTTGGCGCTGTTTCTGTGTTTTAGAAGGGACTTTGTGAATTGGCGGATCAGATCGCAAGAAAGGATTTTTATGAAAGCATTGCTCCTCTGCAGGGCCAAACCTACTGGAAAACCCATAGTAAGATGGCCACGTTTCCATCTCAACAGGCTGCCAGAACCCGAAGTTCTCATCACCTATCCAAATACGCCGCACAGGATTAGATGCAAAGTTAAGCTCCACCAAAACTCTGGCTACAGAAGGACGACGCATGTCACTAGTTGATGCATCAATCTTAAGAGGCCTTCCCAAAGTAGACGCAAGCTTGAATAATTGGGTCTGCTGAAAAAATGGAATTGGCAACTCTGGGAAACAAACCCAAATTGGAGCTATCGATAATTCCTGGTCTGCCTTGAACTCTAGCGACCACTTGGAAATTGACATTGGCGAGCTGCTAACATACCAGATTCTACGTGCAAAAAGACGGGTGTAGTCTTCCTCCAACACCGGACGGATCAGAACATGTTTCTGGTCAAGGAGCCCAACCTTACAGCACCTCGTAAACCCAGCGAAAGAAAGAATTTCCTAATAACTTCCATGGGTGGTCTGTTGAACAAGAAGCGCCCCACCAAAGAGTTCTGAAATGGAACAGAAAGCTGCTCTATTTCCCTGCGAGAGATGCGCAAGGCTGGCTCTCCTCTAAAGGTTGAGACCTCTCCCAAGGCTAAGGCATCAGTTTGTTTCGTACCATCTGCTAGTACTGATGCAAAGGACCTCAAAACTGAAGTCCCACTGTCCGGAAGCTTGTCAGACGGCCCACAGGCCGCCATCTCCGGCAAGTAGGGACGTAGAGCTGATGTCTATTTTGGCATAAAATTCGTTGAGGCAAATTGACAAACAATTGAGGTGCAAGGCTACACTAATGAATTCAAACACCAACGACTAAAGTTTGGCGAAGCCCAATTTTCAGCAGCAACAAATGCAAAGAAAATTAAAATTCCAGTAGCAGCAAACGTGAGGAAATTGAGTTTCTAATCTTGGAAAGATTGATGTTCAGTTATTCAGCAAGAATGAAAGCAACTTTTCGAGTTTGGTGATGCACTTCCACCACCAAATTGACCACGAGCCCTACTAGATGCCATCTCAATTGTCACCATATCATATTCCCACTTTTTTTCTATGATAAAAAAAAAATTGGTCTTTCCTGAGCACGAGAGAGGACAATTTGGGAGTCGTCCTACATAGTGAACTTGAAAAGCAAAATTATCATATTCATGTTTTTAACCCTTTGGGATCTGTTGAATCCTTTGCGTGTTTTGCCAGTTGGAATCCGTTGAGTCTTTTGTATTTTGATTTTTTGATGGTGCGTTGGGATCTTTTGGGATTTTTGTGACTCATTGGGTTCTGTAGGAACTTTTGTGGGGAAGTGTAGCATATTTGCCACTTGTCTGTCATTTGTTGATGTTGGATACATGCCAAGGTGGAGATTTGTTGAGTTTATCTTTGTATCCCTTATCAAAAAATTTACAAAGAAATCTCTCTCTTGGTGGTTCTAAATACAATGGACTTAATGAGTTAAAATATATTAAGCGTACCAATCCAAGTTTCAAGGCTCCATTCAAGAGAAGTTTTTTGGGGTCTCATGCCCCAAGTCGAGAGAGATTTTGTTTATGCGTCAAACTAAAAGAGCAAGTTAGTGAACCTTTGGACCATTAAACTTTTTTGTGCTATTTAGTCTCTTTTGTATTTTTAGTTTTAGGTGCCTTTAGATTTTAGAATGATTTTCTATGATTTTGTACTGTCTCTCTTTTGTACTCTCTAGTTTGTAGTAATATTATGTTTCTCTTTCACCCGTGGATGTAGGCCAATTCTATTGAACCACTTAAATTTTGATATCTCTCTGTTTGATTTATTTGTTGTGCAGTTGCCTTTGTTGGGTTGTCAAGAGTCTTTTTGTTCTTCTTGTTCAATTTTCTAGGACAAGACCTAACATACATTAATTTTGCAAGAATTCGTTCAGCATATGATCTTAATTTCCTTTGATCGAAACTGCTGATATCTGTCAATAACTTCAATAAATAAATGGTGCGTGAAATTTTGACTTCCATAGCTTTCTTTCTTCTTTAAAATTCATGTTCCATTCTTGATTAGTAAATTTACCAGTAAATGGCAGACATCTGTTAGTGCGTGGTAAAGCAAAACCAGTTTGACTATCCAGTAGTAGTGATGTGGTGTCTTATTACCTCTTAAATTCATTTAATTCTTGTATTAGATGCACATGTTACACATCTTGCTATCTTCATATATAAATTCCATCCATACAAGCCCATCAATTACTTCGTGCTAGTGTTTTGTTGCTTTTTGGTAGAGACAATTAGCTAAACTTTTTCGAAGTTTATGCTCTCGAATTGAACATCTGAATGGAACGACATGCATGTCTTCCACAAAAAGACAATGATTTGGAGCATAAAAAGAGTAAACATTATGTTCTTACTTTTTGAATATGACAAATATATTTAGATGCACAAAAATGAGAATAACCATTTCAATGGGAAGGATCAAGAAAAACAATGGGTTCACCTGGATGGTGTATTTTGTGGTGTCTATATAAAATTTTATCATAAAACTTAATGTAGAACTCGTAAAAAAACTTTGTATATTTGAGAGTTTGAAAAATTAAAAACTTTCTTTTTTTTCTTTTCCTTTTCTTTCTTTTTTTTTTCCTTTTGTTTCTCTTTCTTCTTCCTTCCCCACACCACCATCGCTCTCCTTCTCCCACCCTCCCTAGTGCAACCGCCACCCTCACCTTCCCTCTCCCTTTCCCCTGCCACTCTCTCTCCCTCCTCTCCCTGACCCCATCCCCCTCCCCCCTTCCCGAGACTAGGAGAGGACAAGTGAGGGGGAGGAGGTGAGGGAGAGAGAATGAGAGAATTAAAAAAAAAGGAGAGGCTGAGGTGGTCGATGGTGGTGATAGCAGGTTGAGGTGGGGGGAAGAAAGGAAAGAAGGAAAAGACTTTTTTGTATGCTTTGGGGTATTTTGGGTGTATATTTTAAAAACTTTGGAGTATTTTTAAGGATTATTATCACTTTACTCTCTTAAACTATATCACTACTATCAATTTATTTTCTAACATTATCTTTTAATCATTCCACCCCCATAAGTAGTTCAACTCAACATGTTAACAAATTTTGGATAAAAATACCCTTTTATTTATTAGCATTACTACATTATCATTATCATTTCACCCCTTTAAATTACAGTGATACAATCACTTTACTTCCTAACAATATTTTCTAGGCATTTTACTCCATTATTAGCCACAATAGTATGTTCAAAAAAATATTAATGTATCTATTCTTTCTATATATAATTAAAAAAAAATTGGAATGATTATTCGTCCTTTTTTTCTCACTCTAAGAGTTCCAAAAACATAAAAAATGATTTTTTTCAAATTTCTTTTTTCATACTTATTAATACTAAGAAAAGAAAAATAGATAGGAGAAAAGGAGACAGAAAAAATTAGATTTTGCAAAGAAAAAAATAAGAAAGAATCTAATATTATCGTATTACTTTAACATCACCGAGATTAGGATTAGAATTGGATAGTAAACAAAAAAGTAAAGTAACTTTAAAAAAAATAAAAATATTGAATTCTTTCTTATTTGTATTTTTTTAAAATAAGAATTGAGCTCTTTCTCTCTCTCTCTCTCTCTCTCTCTCTCTCTCTCTTTTCCCAACCTTTCTATTTTTTTTAGTATTAATAAGATTACCAAGAAGAAAGAGATTAATACTTTGACTTTTTCTCTTGATACTAAAAAAGAGAACAACCACTCTAAATTTTTTATTATTTTTATTATTTAAAGAGGAGAATACTTTTTTTCTAAAGTTTTTTAACTCACTAAATTGGTTTAATTGTGGGATAAATTGTCTAAAAAATAATTCTAGGGGGTAAATTGATAATAAAGCTATAGTTTATGAAAGGAAAATGATAATAATTTTAAGGGCTAAACATGTCTTTTTAATTGAATTAACAAACTCCATTAAAGTGATAATAACCCTATTTTTAAAAGTGTAACTTAAAGTTGGGGAAAAAATTTGTCCAAAATAAACTAGCAAAAAGCATGGATGCCAAGCAAACCTTACATTTTCTTCAACATTCATGATAAAATTGTGCAAAACTTTAGCCTTCCAAAATTAGGAGATTGGCTATGACGTACTAAAACTATTGGATGTGTTGTCTTCTCAACCTTGCCTCTAGTAGGCAAGAGTCATAGTAATTTTAGACCAACAGAGACAAATACAGCAGAAATATGACAATAGTTAGTTGACCTACAAAGTGGCCAGCATTAAGAATCCAGTAGAAATGTAAATTTCTGTATGATTTGGTGAAACCCTTTATACTCTTTGTCATCTTCAAAATACGCAGGAGTTCTATCCATGTTCAAGAAAAATGTGATCCCATCCCACCAATGAAATAGGAAAAAAGTTACTGATTTTGATAAGAGAGTGTTTTTCTTAGAAAGAGGGATTTGGGTTCTCAATTACTTGTGGGATTAATTAATTCCTACTTGAGCTTTTCAACCCATGTGGGCATTGGATACGTTGGTTGGACAGATGAGATGAAGCTATCAGCAACAATAAATAACATTCTAATCAAACTAAAGAAAGTCAAATTGATAGCATGGAAAATAAAGCATCATTCCTGCTCTATATTTCTTAAACCATTGCAGAATTGTGCTTGTCCATTTTAGATATTAACATTTACTCCATTTGCTCAAAGTTCATCGACCTGCAAAAAGTAGTTGAACAAATGCTTGAGAATTTACTGCATGTAATTGGATAAGCTGGTCTTATCTCAATTGAGATGTGATTGAAGAATGCTGATCAAATGAGGAAAAAAAATCATTTTTGGTATAATTCAAAATTACAAACTGATATAGTTCCTGAAAACTTCCCGACTTTTCGTTCTCAACTAAAACACAAAAGCTGATATATTTGCCTCCCTAATCCATGTCCTAATGAAATCACCTTGGATGGCTCTAGCAACAAGTTGAAAATTCCCATCTGTTCTAGCCATTATTACTTCTCCAACTCTGAGAAGTAAAAAATTTTCTAAGGAGAAAAACTCACGTGACATTCAGTGATATAGTCCTTAACTTCTTTCTAATATAACCATTCATCTAGGTAACATTATCATCATTACCATCACCTTCGGAAGGGCACCTCAATCTTTGAGGGTATACTGAGTACCTTCTTACTGCAATTTTGTGTTTTAGTTTGGATTCAGCTGATAATGATAAAGGCTCATCCTCATGTAAAATTGAGAGGAAATTGTAGAAATACTCTATTTATACACAAATGAAATCGGCAAGCATAAATTTACCAATTTATTGTGATTACCTTTAAGTTTAGATAGGCTAGGAAAAAAGTCAAAAGAATTCATACCATATTATTACTATAATGGCTAATGACTGCTATCAATTCCTTCCATGTTTCTGTGGCCTCTGCAAACTTACCTGCTGCAATTTGCTTCTTAATTTGAAGAACTACCCTACATTAAATATAGACTTATTAGAGAACCAAAATCTTTGAGCTTGATTAGATTAGAGAATTATGCTAATATGTACTACTAGTTTAAAGCATAAACATTGAAGACCTGTTTGATTTCTTCAAATCATTGCTGTCAAGCAACGAGACATCTTTTATAAGAGGACCCATGAAGACTGCATTTCAATATAAGACTCAATTCAGCTGCCCTAATCATGACACTAGTGAACAAGTAAAGAAAAAAAATACTGACTACAAACTGAAGAATCTTCTAGTGAGATC